TCTTGTAATCTCTTATTCTTTTAAGTATAAAATATAATGAGGGGTTGGCGGCCAGACCTAATTCAATTCTGGTTGACATCCTACTCTTTCTTTCTTCTCTTTTCTTCTCTACTACTGAAACTCTTCATCTTCTTCTTCTTTCTCTTCAAAAGGAATTCATCTAGATTTCCAAACAGTGATTTCTACTAAGGGCAGATGATTGTTGAGCCCAATGTCGTCACTGACATCCGCTGGATAAAGATGGGTCGCAAAGTGGTGAAGCAGGCCCTTGTTCAGTGGACGAACCTGCCCCCAGAAGATGCCACTTGGGAAGACCTCAGTCAGTTGCAAGAACAATTTCCCCATCTTGACCTTGAGGCCAAGGTCGTTCTTAAGTGTGGGGGAGATGATGGACCCCAGGTGGATAATCCGCCATCAGGTCACCGGGCCCATACAAGTCAGGAAAGCCAGGCCCACACAGGTTGTGAAGCCCATGCAGCAGCATCAGAAGCACATGGGCATTACGAACCTCCCCTGCAATTTGTTTATAACCGCAGGCCACGTCATAACCTTCCACATGCAGAGCTCATAACCATGATGAACTGATAAGTGCGAAAGCCTATAAAAGGCCTTCGGGTAGAACAGAATTGGCAGAAAAAGCATAACTACCTTATTTCCTTCTCTCTTCCTCTTCTTTCTCTCTCTCTCTTAATTCTGTTTCTGGAGGAAGGAACTCCCTAAAGGAAGATCCGTCGACTTAGTGTTCACCACTGAGCACCCGAATCTCCAGGATTTCCTAATGAGCAGCAATAAAATTGAATTTATATAACTTCTGGCTGTTGCGAATGACAGCCGTTTGCTATCTCCTCTTAGAAAGCCAGGCGCTATGTGCCACCATTACATCATCGGCTTTGAAGCCTTGAAACTCCCTGTAGACTAAAACCCAATGAATAATCTTAGAAAATCTGGGCAGTATGTGCTACCTTGTCATTTGATCATCTGCTGTGACTCCTTGAAACTCCTTGCAGACTAACACTAAATTAATGATTTTATTGGACTTATTTTCAATTTAAGAGTGACAACATGCCTCATTGCTATGTCTTTGTATTTCTGACTTTTTGATACAGGTCTATGTGCCCATTTACTCCCTTTCCCTGTTGCATAATCCTACCTATGTGACAGATTTGTGGTTCTTTCAGGGTTTGGAGAAGAGGAGCTTACCTTTGGAAGAAGAGGAAGAGGTTTTTAGTGCAATCACGCTGATCCTTGGTTCTGTTGCCAACAAAGAGCTAAAGAACAAGTCATTGGCTAGATTGCTATCTTCTAGCTATGAGGCTATTGGAAAACTTGTAAGTGTTTGGTAGTTCATAGATTGCTTTTTGCATTATTTGATGATGTATTCTTTTTTCATAGAGTAGGTGTATTAATAATATATCTGCTGACTAGTTGAGGTTTTCTTAATTTTTCAACAAAGTTTGCAATGAAATTGGCAGTTGCCACAGACTGGCCTTTATTACTATAATGGTTCTAACTTTCAAGTGGACTTGCAAATCTCTTGATGGATTATAGCAACTTATGTTAACCATTGAAGGATGAAGATGGTATGGGTTTTTTGTGGAATTCTGGAATCTTATTTTAGATCCCATCGATTCTTGAGCTTTCAATTTAGTTGGAACAAAGGGGGAGATAACCTCAGATGAATCCAAACTTTCATTGGTTGATGGGGTTGCGGGTCCTTTGCATGGTCTAGACTCTATAGAGTAAAAATCATGTGTCTAGCATGAGTGATAGTAATGTCTGCATATACCATTGTAAAAGCACAGCTTACATTTTCAACATGCACATGAGCAGGGTATACTTACTGTGACAATTGAATTAACTTTCTTTTGTTTTGTTTGTTTATTTAAATATGGTGCATATCTCCCAACTTGTCCCCACCCCAATCTCTCACTGAGACACAAAGAGATGCATACAGACAACACACTAAAGGATGACAATTGCACTTCTAGACTTGGTTATTTTTCAGTTGTATTTCTGCACTGGTGGCAAGAGTAACTAAGTGTTTTTTTTCCTTATTGGATTTGTATATCATCATTATCATCCAATCCCTATCCCAACTATATTGGGTCGACTACATGAATCTTATTTCACCATTCTGTTCTGTTTAAGGCCATATTGATTGTTAAATTATGAGCATTTAAATCATTTCTTACTACCTATACCCATGTACCCCTCCCTACCTCTTTTAGCAGCTTCTTACTTGAAATAGACCACTTGTTCTTGTGGGTGCTGTAGGTGGTCTTCTATGCATGTGATCAAACCATCTTAGTGTACTTTCTCGCATTTTATTATTGGAGCTTCTCCTAGATTCCTTCAAATTACTTAATTTCTGACCTCCTTTCTAGTTTTTCCACTCATCCATCTCAGCATACACATTTCTGTTGCACTAATATTTTGGGGCATGTTGTTTCTTGACTGCCCAACACTTTGCTCCAAACTTTACTCTTGGTGGAGGGGCGACCATCAAAAATTTTTTTAAAAGGATAAAAGGAAGCCTAGGAGGGGGAGGGGGACATAAAAACCATACCCCTCAATAAAAGCTACACAGCAAGGATTCCGGCTCATAAGACACATACAAGCAAAAAGCCATTTGGAATCAATGAGACAAGAAAAAACTTATCTAACTCGTAAATAAGGCCTACTTCATCTTATGCAAAATGTTGCGAAATATAGAGGGAGAAACGAAGAAGATTTTCTTTATTGATGATTCAAAAACATATTGAGCATACACCTTAAATAAGAAAAGATAGGAGAGACAAACTCCTAGAATTTCTCTCAATCAGGGATTGACTAAATCTTTCCCTTAATCCTAGGATCTGACTTTCCTAAATTTATTCAAATCTAATCTTTCCTAAATTTATTCAAATCTCAAATCATATCTTTCTTAATTTGCCGACACAAAATAACCCGAATCTGACTAGAGAGATCCTCTTGATTATCAAAAAAAGCAATGGATCTCAAATTACAAGGCACATTGGCAAGAGCATTAATCAATCTATTCCCTTCACAGAAGGTATGCTCCATAATAATCCACATGCCGGCCATGATATCATCTATATTAGCCTGCCAATACCAATGATAATTAGGGAGATCTGAAGATAATAATCTGGACTTACAACTGTTTTATAGAATTTTCCTTTTTAACCTAGGTAGTGTTTGCCTAGCACAAAAGACTCTGATGAACCTGTCCATTTTTCCCATCCTGTTCTAATTTTATAGGCAACATTTTTCTCAGTTGTTCCTTTAAATAAGGGCTAAATATTGAACCTTGGTGGAGACCCTTTGTAACTATAATATCTGATGTCTTCCCCATAAGTGTTGTATCATTGGTTGTTGTACCCTCATACATATCCTTTATTAGGTCTTTATACCTATTTGGAACCACTTTGTTTTCCATGACCTACCATATCTCTATGGACTCTCTATCATATGCTTTCTCTAGATCAATGAACACCTTATGCAGATCTCTCTTCTCTCTAAACTTTTCTATCAATTGTCTTGAAAGAAGGATAGCTTCCATGGTTGATCATCCTAGCATAAACCCAAATTGGTCTTTGGCATACTTGTTTCATGTCGTAATCTTTGCTCAATTATTTTATGCCAATGTTGTTTAATATTACAGGTGTTGCATCGGATATTGTTCTCGTCTGATTTGTAATCCAATTTCATTTCAACGAATTCAAATATATAGTATAGTAAATGAATCTAATTCTAATCGAAATTGAGGATTCAATTATAAATTGAATCAAATTTGGATAGACTTTGATTTGAATGGTATTATCTGATTTGATTCAATTGCATATATATTTATGTGATAAATTTTATAATACATATTTATAAATTTGTAGGTAGGTGGGAAATTATGCCCTTCATACAATTTAAATGGCAAAAGCTTTTGGAGAGGATTTTCATAGAAGATAGAACACATGGTTATTAGTGTCTTACTATTTAACAGAACCCAAGAACATAATGACCCTAGACCCTAGTCTATCCATATGACTGGGAAGACCGAAGGGTTTCTTCACCCTATTCGATGACTAGCCATTGAAAGGATTAAAAAGAGACAAGACAGGGTTTCTTCTTCCAAAATATAAATCCTCTGTTCTCAATGAGCAGAACTATGAACAAGGGTTTCTTCTTCCAAATCTATCGCTACCGTGCTCTATCAAGATAAATCCAAATGCCTTCTTCTAAACCCTTTTTTCTTCTTCCATTTCAGCTACCTTCTTTCGAAAGGGGTGTGGCAGGGGKAATTTAGTTTCTTTTCAATTCTCTCGGTTTTATTCTCCTTTTCTACTTCTCATATCAATTACTTTCTAGTTTTTCTATTATTTTCTGTTTTTCTCTTCCTGCATTCACTCTGAATTGTTACAAACATTAAGGGCACTACTACAATGTAACGCCCTAGTACTAGTGATATTCCTGACATGACCGTTATTTTCAATCGAAACTGTCCAAACAACAGCCAAAAAAGAATTTTTGCAATCTCATTTTTCAATAAATCCTTATTAAAGACACTGATTTTTGCTGAAATGGCTAAAGGAATCTTTTTCTTGATTTTCTAACTAAATGAGGCCATGAGGGTGAAAAATGTCTCTCTTTCAAATTTCAACATGGAAGGTGGAATTTGGGTGAAATTTTAGCATGTTGAAAGAAGGTCATGTTGAGAAACATATAGTCATATTTTTGGCTGCAATTTTGTTGCCACATATGAAAAACAGTAGATTGTTTGTAAACATTATGCAAGTACTTTCTCCCATCAGAAAATAAAAGGAAAAAAAAACAATTCTGGCATAGGGCCTCACAATTAGTTTTTTTATTCTTTTATCAGCAATAAGGATTGGTTCATTAATTAAAATATGTGAAGTACAGACTGATGACCTAAATGTCATCCCGAAGGATTACATCCAAAGTTACGAGGCCCAATGTAGATGCCGCCTTGTAGCCCTTCGTTTGGCTAAAGTATCTGCTAACCCATTTGCACTCCGCCTGGTTCACCTAAAATCAGCATTTATATCCCTTAATAATCCTTCCACTTATCTAAAGATATGTTTAAGGGTCCACGGGACATGTCTAATGCATCTTTCCCAAGATATAACAACTTTTGAGTTCCCTTCGACTTCCACCTGATGAAAACCCAATTGCTTTGCCAATTGAAGACCCTGCAATAAAGCTAGTAACTCTACCTTTGCTGAGTTTGTAATGCCAATTGGCCCTGAATATAGAGCCAATATCTTGCATTCTGCATTTCTGATTGCTCCCCCAATTCTTGCCACTCCCGGGTTGCCCATAGAGCTTCCATCAAAATTCGGTTTTACTTTGTTAACCTCTAGTTGTTTCCACTCGACTCTTAGAGTTTCTGTGTCTCTAGAGGATTGTGCTATTTCTTTCCATGCCCTTAGGATGTCAGTTACAGAGAAAACTTGAAAATTGTCTAACGTTTTTATCCACAATGCAACCCTCAGTTTTATGTTGTCAATGACCTCTTCCAAGGTTTTAGATTTTCCAGCAAAACTTTCTTCCCAGAATCTCCAAGCAATAGCCGTTTTAGTATCTCTCCACATTATCCTCCCTCTTTTCTTTGGTTGCCTCAAGAAGTTAGGGTTGAAAATGTCTGTCACCTCTTGGGGAGGGTCCCACCTGCAGCCAAAGAAAGAACAGAAAAATTCGCAAATATGAAGTACAAAGGAGCAGGAAATCATTAAGTAGGAGAGGGATTCTCCACTATCCCTACAAAGAAAACACATATGAGGATAGAGCCAAGTGAAGGGCCTCCTTTTGTGGGGTAGGCTTGCTCAAAATTTCTTTCTCCGAGAGAACAATCCCTTGGGGCCTAGCAGAAGCAAGATGACTGAAGAAAGAAGAGCAAGGGAAAAGCCCATCTGGGGAGATTACCCGGAATCTAAAACCCTCCAAATTGGACTCTAAGTAAACTGTTCGCAAAGTCCCAAGGAGATCAGTCAACAAGATACACTCTCTTTCCCTAAGGCCTTTTTTGAATCCAAGGTTCTAGTTGATACCTGAATGGGAAGCCACACCCAGATTAGAAATGGTTTCATTCTTCAAGTCAGAAATGGCATAAAGGTCAGGGAATTGATCCTTGAGTGGTGATTCCCCTACCCAAAGGTCTTCCCAGAATCGGATTCTATTCCCCTTTCCCAGAATTGATCCTCATCCTCCACATTAATTCCAGCACTTCCACTTTTGTTCCAATTAATTCTTAAGCTAGAAATACCCTCAAAAGTCTTAATCAGTAACTTTAGGYTTCTCACCATTTCCAGATCAAGGTTCTCGCAAAACAAAATTGTGTCATTAGCGAATTGGAGATGTGAAACAATTACGTGGTCTTTGACAACCCTCCAACCCCTAATCAGGCCCTGGGCATCTGCTGCAGCAATCATCTTATTGAGGACCTCTGTTTCTAAGGTGAATAGGAGAGGAGAAATGGGGTCCCCTTGTCGTAGACYTCTCTTAGCCGGGTAGAAGTCTTTGACCACTCCATTAATAAGAATGGAATAGTGTACTGACTTAATGCAACCTTTAATCCACTTCCTCCACCTTTCTCCAAACCCAAGCCTTTCCAAGATGTCTAGCAGGATGTCCCAATTTACCATGTCATAGGCCTTTTCTAAGTCCAACTTGCAAACCAAGCCTTTTTCCTCTTTTCTTCCTTTTCTCAACAACACATTCATTTGCCACAAGGATTTGATCCACAATCTGTCTCCCTTCAACAAAGGCCCTTGGAAAGGAGAAATTTTTAAAGGTAGGACTTGCTTGATCCTCTCTAAAAGAACCTTTGCAATGATTTTGTAAAGACTCCCTATCAAACTGATTGGTCTGAAATCCTTGGGAGATTTTGCCTCCTTCTTAGGTATCAAGGAGATAAAGGTGGCATTTGCTCCAAAAGGGATCTTGCCTTTATAGAAAAATTCTTCAAACACTTCCAAGAGGTCAAATTTTAGGAAATCCCAACACTCTTGATAGAAGGCCTTAGTAACTGGGGCCTTGGATCTATCCGTGGAAAATATTGCTCCCTTAATTTCTTCCAAAGAGAATTTTCTTTCCAATTCCTGGGAATATCCTTAGAGATTAATCCAATCCAATTCCAGTAAATTTACCCTAGAGGCTTTGGTGATTGAGAAAAGATTCTTAAAATGGTTGACAAAAGCCCTCACAATCTCTTGAGGCTCCGTTAGTTCCTGACCTTGCGCTTCCACACTAAGAATGGTGTTTCTCTTTCTTCTTCCATTGGCCAATGAATTGAAGAATTTGGTATTGCCATCCCCTTCTTCAATCCACTTGTATCTAGATTTCTGTCTCCAAGAAATCTCTTCCTTCCTTAAGATTTCCTCTACAACTTTATTGTTCCATCTTTCCTCCCTCTCCTCCTGTG